ACTTAAGTTGTAATTAACTTCATCAAAACTTAAAACCTGAACTGTCATACAAATTGAGAATGGTTTCAAAGTTCAATTATTCAACCAAAAAACTACCTATATGAAACATCCTTTATTAAGCTCTTACAATTACAATTTCCATTTACAAAGTCCATAGTTGTTATCCCCAAAACTTCACCCGCACCGAAAACAAAAAGTTAGACAATGGAAAAAAAAAGAGATCCTCTCCCCATCAGCTCCACGCCATTATAGTCACTCATGTACAAAACAAAAGAGCGTAGAGAACAATTTCCAATTCCAATTCTACCAACTGTCAAGCGAAAAAAGAACAGCACTACTAGCCAACTCAACTAGCTGCCCCAGCTTGTTTTATTGACATGATACAGAGGCCAAAAAAACAAAACCAAAAAAAAAAAACAATCTTCACAGCTGGCCCTATGGTGGGCGATGACGTAACTTGCTTCGAAGGCGTAACTGGTAGTGGGGGACGACTGTCACGCCCTCTATCCGGATTGGTTTCGGGCGGGGCTTTCAAAATAATTAGTTTCCCGCCTTTTCGACTTGAACTTAAAGTCGAAGAGATATGCATGAAGTGACTTTAACAACAGCGCCAACTGGAAGTATATATAGGAATTTTTCATGACTTGGGTGATTTATCATAAATTTGACGTAACAATTTTAATCGTAATAGGTAATTGTTTTCTTTATTAGATCGATATTAAAAAAAGTTGACGAGAAAGTGTATGAGTCACTAATCTGTGTTTTGCTTTGCCTCTTGATCTGTGATAAACTGACGTTCATTATGATATTTCTATTGGTAATTGTGAAAATGGCATCCAAAATTGGGATATAAATTGCAAACTGTACGGCGCGATGTATACCGTCACGTCGCCGTATCGTCAATGACACGTCAAATATTCTTACATTTAAGAGCAGTGGTCGTATTCAAACTACATACAGCATCGTCACGTCCGCCGCGCTATTGTCAAGATTTTTCGACGGTACGGTGACATTATGGTACCTACCTGTGAATCGCGCTTAAATCCACTTCAAATTTATAACAGCAAAGAATTTGCATTAAGAAAAACAGCGAATTGTAAAGCGGCATTTAGAAATTTCAGATCACGATAGAAGCTTTCCACAGCTGAAACGGTTTTGTTCTTGTCCATTTCTTCTATATCCATCCCATAATGAGGAATTTTTATTTTGATTAGGTAAAGTTTGTTTCGCCAGGGTTTGTACTTGCCACCAGCATTTGCCTTCCTTGTTCAACAAATAAAAATTGACTGAAACAAATCAATGACGTCAAAAATGTTCGTCAATTCTTGAACCAGAAGTCATTCATTTCAATTTGTCAAAAAAATTGAATGTGTTATATGAATTAATCTACGACAACCCTTTTTTTTCCAGTTTCAAGGTCAAGTATGAACCCTGGTGAAACGAACCTTAGGTAGGTATGTATATATAAGGCGCGATTCAGACTGTACGTACCGGCACCGTCGCGTCACCGTACCGTCAACGACACGTCAAATATTCTTACATTGAAATGATGGTTTTCACACTACACCTTCACGGCAAGTCACACAACCGTCCGGGTCGTCAAGATTTCTGGAGAAGAAAATTTGACATGTCGTTTACGGTACGGTGACGTGACGATGCCGGTACGTATAGTATGAATCGCGCCTTATACGTATATACGTAGGTATAATTAAAATAAAAATTGCTCATTATGAGATGGATATAGAAGAAATGGACAAGAACAAAATCGCTCCAACTGTGGAAAGCTTCTATCGTGATCTAAAGATTTCTAAAGGCCATTTCACAGTTCACTAATTTTCTCTCTGCAGCTTCTCTGCGCGCATAAGGAGTATGTTTACGTACTAGTAATATCAACTCTGCCACAAAAAAGACTGCTCTTGTAGAAAGTTATCAGTTTGATTTATTTTTCTTTAAGCATGTTCTGAATGCGCATCAAAACTTCAGGGTTTATCAGAAGTTTGAGACAGGACAAAAACATTCAGAAAATAAACTAGTGATTTCCTTCAAAGTTCCAATCCCATATTGATATTATTAGCTCCTATCTACTTCAACATGTGTAAAAGATAAAAATATCCGCAATAAAAGCCCAAAGCAAATAATAAAAACACAATAAACTGTTTTCAAAAGTTCAAGTACCTACCTAATCATTCATCATCCACTTTAAATCTATTAAATGTGTAACAAGTATCAGCTCTAAGATGAAATCTGTGAAGAGCCTAATGCAATTTAGGGACTAAGAAGTCGACAAAGTAGTTTATAAATCCGTATACATAAGCGGCTTTCTGCACTTTGGAGCATCGCGCGCCTTTATAGTTCTTTAGCTACCTAGCTGTGTACATTAACACTAGTTTATCCCGATTATCCGAAATAATTCCCTTATTCGCTATTATTTGCTCTTCAACCTTACGTCTATTTAACTGGTTTTTAAGTAGCTTTAACGCGGATTACGCCTTATCGGATATACCTACAGTTATGCGATATGAGTAATTCCTCAACTTGATATTGCACATTTTAAACAGTTCTTCTAACAAACGAAATCTTTGGGCTTCATCAACATTCAACTAATACATCAACATTCGACTACCTAATACTCGCATCGCATACATAATCAGGTAGTACCTACCCACCAATTAGGAAAATAAGGGTTGGCGTCAATATAACCCTTTTTACGATTTGTTTATAGCGAATCGGCATTTTGGTTTTTGGTCATTGTATCCCAAACGATAAAACCCGTGAAGACAATCAAAATATTCCTAGAAAAGTGTCTATACATTGGGGTATACAATTTGGAAGGGTAAAATGTCCATATAATCCTAAGTAAATTATCTACTTCTGTCTAGAAAAGGATTTGGACAAATGCAAATCAAATTATTTTCTTATTTTTAAATATTTATTTAACATCTAAAATCTCTTTGACACTCCTCCATATATTTATTCTCTTAATCAGAAGGTTTAGGCTAGATGATTACCCACATATCCAATGCTCCTTTTTATTAGGGTTGAGACATATTTCAATTATTGAAACACCATATTATCTTAAATTATTGATGATCTTGTTTGTTGTCTTTTCTTGGAATAATGATTTGACTAAAATAGATACAAATAATATCTAAACCTGGACCGGGCAACTATTGACAGACTATGATCATTTACATAATTTGCTTTTAATGTTCCTATGAATTTTGCCTTATTCAGGTAGCTTAATGGGGATTAATTATAAAGTTAAAATCTTCGGAGTACAATAAGTAAACTCTTGTAATTGTGGCCCAGTCTTGAAGCAGGTAGAAAATTTGTGTTAAGACATCTTCTTTTCTCGTATTCAATTATTGGAAAAACACTTACCTAATTCAAACTTCAACAATCACACATCTTGAAATTGTTTTGTGGCTCTGAAAGACTCCCTAGCCGTTCTCTTGTTAACGCTATCCCTGATAAAAATTACGATAACAACAGTGAAACTGAAGAAAGTAATTTTTCTTAGTTTTATGTCCATTGAATTATCTTCGAAGTTTTTAGGTTGTCATCATCATTGTATAATATTAAGTTTTTTTTTTTTTTTTAAATCAAAAGTCGTGCGTTATAGTACTCCCCACTCAATTTTTTTGACCAAAATCTGACCACCCTCTCGAAGTTCCACCCCCAAAAATAGTTTTCAAACTACCTGTGACCTGTGAACATCGTAGGGGTTGTCTTAATACCCCAACCAGGGTGCAATCTTTAGTGTAGTCGTTGCAGCTTTTCACTCGGTGTTGCGAGAACTGTTTGTGCGCGATCGAGTTATAGAAAAGTTTTGGTGAATTTGATTTTGGAATAAGACTGTGGTATTTTTGGAAAAATACATCGTCGAGGATTATTTACAAACATACAGGTAACTCCCAAATTTACTAGGTGCGTACCAATTATTTCGATATAGGTAGATATGTGTTTTAAGTGAAGACAGGACTTTCTATAACGATGGTTTTTTAGACAAAATGCATATTTTTTAAACCTTCTATATTCAGATTAATCATATTTCACGATAATTCTCCATTAAACGAAAAAGATACCATTTATTAGCATAATTAAGTAGTTAGGTAGGAATATAATTGATGTTTAACTTACCACTTAACTGTCGCACTAAGCAAGATTCATGGTGACAAACCAATTAATTGACTGTTTTAGCATAATTATTAATTAGACTCAGAAATACTTCACCGTGCTGCAATAATTTACTAATTAATTAGAACATTCTTTTTTCTTGAATTCCGAAGAAGATAATTGAGTGATTTTGGTCCTTATTTTCCAGCTCCATACCTGTACCATTGTTGTTAAACTTAAATCTATTCTACTACTTAAACGCCTCAACCGGTCAAAATATTTCTGAGAAACGACCAGAAAACCTAATCCCTTCAAAGCGTCCGCCATTGAGAAGGAAAAACAATTTTTGCTCTGTACCTCATCCGCACCTACTTAATCTCTGTTGTACAGTACTATTCCGAATAGAAAAGTACCTACCATGAGTACCAAGAAAGGCAACCGAGTGGAAAAATGAATTTCAAATCAGATTAAAGTAAATTTGTGAATAAGGAGAGGCGAGTGGAATTAGTTAGGTATTTTTTGTTTGTCCATATTAACTCCTTTCCAACCGACATGGGAACCGTTCCAGAACCAGTAATTTCCAGTTGCCCACCTTTTTTTCAATAAGTTGAACGATTATTCTACTGGGCAAATGAATTGATCGACTAGCAATTACCGTTTTAGAACGATTCTCATGTCGGTTGGAACAGAGCTATAATATAATCTTGGATCGGGAATTGATTGCCTTTGAGTGACCCATTGGAGCAAAACTTCTGACTTTCTGGAACAATTTGAAGATTTTGCAGCAAATTGAATGGGTGCTTTTCATTTAGTTATGATACAAGTAGTGAATAAAACTAAAATAAAAATTTGAGAAAGGGGCCTCTGAGGGCGTTTTTTCATTGAAAGTAACAGATACATGTCTTTTGAGGAAAGAGTATATAAATGGCAAAATTGGAGCTAATAAATTTGATTTTTCTATGGTGAATCTTCTATTTTTTTTTAATGAAAAGACTAAGTAGGTACAAGTTTAGCACTTAAGTAGGTTTTTATTCTAATTTACACAATGATTAAGATTTCTTCATTGTTTCAGGCAACGGCCCAATCATTACACCCCAAGAAGGAGTAACCAGCGGCGCGGTCGCGAACCAGTGTCGTTCGTGCCCGGGTGGACTTTGTCGAGGTGGTGCAAATTGCCACTTCCAGAGTTCAAACTTGTTCTCGCAAATCAATATGGCCGCAGCGTGGCCAAACTACCATCCATTGAGACCCATGCTACCATTTGGCGTGTCCAATTTACCAGTGTCAGCATATCCTCCAGGTAATTATTAATTTTTTAGATTTAGACCCAGTTTATTTATCTTCGGATCTGGCAAACTTGCAAACTGACTATGGATAATAAGGCAAAGTATGATTTTGTCTTGGTTGATAGTTATCAGCAAGTTTAGCGAAAGATGGCGCTTTTCAAAATGTTTCTGGAGATTCTAGAGTATTTGAGTGTTTTAGAGTATCCTAAAATGGGTTTCAAGCTTCTAAATTGTTCTAAAATGCTTTTGGAAATTGTAAATCGGTTCTTGGAGCACTTCAAAATGGTTCTGAAGTTTCCAAATTATTCTGAAACGCAACTAATTCTGAATTTCAAGTGTTTTGAACTTACCAAAGGGTTTATCAAAGTTCCAGGAATGGAATGTAATTTAGGACCACACAAAAGAGAGACGCGCATCTGTAGTGACGTCACACGGGTATTAGCGTTTGACAATAATAGGGCAAACAATTCTCTTTGCTTATAATCAATTTTGGGTTTGTGTCAATCGTTCGTCGGATGTCATTGGCTGTCTTTCTCCATCTACGATTATATCTTTGTTCTCTCTCGTGTAACGAAATTTGCGAAAACGTGACGCGTCTTTCAGATCACTTTCCATTCTCGTCCAAATATCAATCCGCTGCCTAAGAAATTTCAAAAAATGGAGTTTTCATAAGGGTATCTTCTTTAAATTTCAATTTCAAAATCTTCAAACCTCGATTGCTCGGTAACCGTTGGGCAATATTGCATTGAAATTTCCGGCGTCTATAGCTCCTATTAAGTTCTGAATGGCCTGTAATTTACAATATTCCCAGATTTATAGTTTTTGAACTAATTGAGTTTTGTCAAAAACTTGAACTAAAAATCAACTTTGAAGTTCAATTGCTCAGAAACCACTTGAGCTATTAAACTCAATTTTGCACGAATTTATAGAGAGTTGAATACAGTGGTATATAACTTATTTTCATTTGCTCGAAATTTTACAAAGATATGGGCAATTGTTGATGACCATGTCAAAATTTTGAAAATTTTCCAGAGCCAGAAATAGGATTTTCTTTTTATTTTTGTTTCTGGTTGAAATGGCCATTTGGAATCAATGTCAGGGTTGCTTACCACTAATTTTGATCTGTTCTATCCATTGGTAGACTCAAAGTTGAGCAAAACTGAAAAATAAAAAAATAGAGTTTTTCATAAGGGTACCTACCTACCCCCTTTGAATTCGAATTTTAAAATATTCAAACCTCAATTGCTCGGTAACCGTTGGGCAAATTGCATAGAAATTTTTAGCATTTGGAGCTCTTACTATGTTCTAAATGGCCTGTAATTTACAATATTCCCAGATTTATAGTTTCTGAGCAAATTAATTGAGTTTGAAGTTTTTGACAAAATTTGGACTGAAAGTCAACTTTGAGACTCAATTGCTCAAAAAGCTATCAAACCCAATTTCATACGGATTTTTAGAGATTTAATGCTCTTTCCAATGGTGTATAATTTATTTTAATTTGCTCAAATTTTTAAAAAGATATGACAATTGTTCATGACCATATCAAGATTTTGAAAATTTTCCAGAGCCAAAAATAGGATTTTATTTTTATTTTTGTTTCTGCTTGAAATGGCCATTTGGAATCAATGTCAGGATTGTTTATCACTAGTTTTGACCCGTTCTATCTATTGGTAGGGTCAAAATTGAGCAAAATTGAGAAAAAAAAAATCAAGTATTTCATAAGGGTACCACCTTCTTTGAATTTTAATATCAAAATATTCAAACCTCAATTGCTCGGTAAGCATTGGAAAAATTGCATTGAAATTTTCAACATTTGTAGCTCTTACTAAGCTCTAAATAGGCTGTAATTTACAATATTCCCAGATTTATAGTTTTTGAGCAAATTCTGACTGAAGTTTTTGACAAAATTTGGACTAAAACTTAACTTTGAGGCTCAATTGCTCAAAAACTTTTGGAGCTATCAAACTCAATTTCGCACGGATTTAAAAAGAATTTAATGCTCTTTCCAATGGTAAAAATAGCAAAAATTTACTTCTTCCAATCGGCCGCCTGTGGGTTTTGAACACACCGCATACATGGTAGCGGCGGCCCTGTTCTGTAGCATGGTTTTCAGTAACTTCTAAATTGAATGAGAAACGAATTCTGTGGGAAGTTTTTGTAGATATCTTAAAAACGACCCTGAGATGTTCACAAACGACATTCAAGATGTTTTTTAGAGTTGTTCGCATCTTAAAGACGTCGTATGGTATTAAACTCAACAAGGGCGTACCCAGCGAGGGGCAGGGGAGGGCAGCTGCCCCCCCCCCTAAAAATTTTTATAAATTATAAAAAGGCTCCGCTAAGTGCAGAAAATAAAAAAATCAAAATAAACCACTATGGTTTTACTAAAAAAAATTACAAACCCGAAAAATATACTACTAAATACTACTAAAATATATTCATATACCTACGTAAGTCAAACGCAGCGCACTGCACAGCCTACTAGATTTGCAATTAGCGGAATTAGCAAAGAAATATGAATTTTCTATTACGATCCTGGCCCCTGCGAATTTGTTGTATTGTGTTGTTTTTCTAACGGAATTCGATTATTTTCATTTGTTATTCAATGTTAATTTGTTTGTGCAAGTACTGCAAGTAAACTTAATTTACTTAGTTGTTGATAAACGTCTATGCTATGTTGTTAGCAGTTACGTTACACTAGTAAACATTGTCAGAAATTTATATTAGATTGTACTGTAACGAAAATTACCCTGAGTCCGCCTCTGACTCTTCCCGGCCGCGTGGAGAATTCTCGAGACGCAGCGCGAAGCTTCGTACGTGCTGCGGAGAGAATCTTCGAGAAGCAGGCGCTTCGGATATAAAAGGAACAATGTCGGGCGGCGACGGCAGATTTCGCCAGTGCCGGGTTGAAGAATAGAATACTTTTATAAATAAATACAAGATACAAGGCGTTACATAAACTAGTTAGTGTGTTTAGTTAAATTAATCAGAGTGAATTTTAGTTAAGTGTTGATAAAAGTATAGTTTTAATTAATTGGCAGCTTTTATCACATCGTAGTCGAACAAGTTCACGCTAAAAACGTTACAGTACTTATTGGAAAATCTGCTGAATCTACCTATTTCGGGCATCTCGGTATCTCCACACTGATAAATGGATATCAGGAAATTTTTTCAAACAGGTAAGTTACAGTTAGTAAGTTACATTCGACGACATTTGTGTAATATCTGTAAATTCCAATTAAAAAAAACAAAATGTTTTTTTCCATGTTACATGTTAAACAAAACACTAACATGGATATCACTCACACTGTATAAAATACTAAAAGCGGCATTATTGTGTTTTGCAGCTACTAAAACTCTCAAGAGGAAAAAAGAACATGACAGTAGCAGCGGGAGCGATGATAACAATGATCAAATTTCATCGCCAAGCCCATCTAAAACTGAATCTGAATCTGAGCAACCGCTAAATTCTTTGAGATCTAAGAAAGTCACTGCTCCTAATTTAGAATCTTTACCGTCAACATCTGGCTCTGTAGTCAATCCCAAAATTGAAGAGAATGATGGTTGCCACGAAAATGACTTGGGTCGTTTGTAGGACAAACATTTCACCTGACGATGGAAAGAAAAAAAGAGTTGTTAAAAAATCCGTGGGTTCCCCCCAAGAATTACGATTTTGCAGCCGATGCCAGTCATTTGCGAAGAAAATTTAATTATGCTTGGTTAGATCATTACACACCATGGTTAGTGTATTCCAAGCGACTAAAGGGTGCTCTGTGTAAGCACTGTGTTTTATTTCCTCCTTCTACTGGCACAGTAAGGGGAGTGTTAGGTTCATTTATGATCAGACCATTTACGAAGTTTAGGAATATGCACGAAGATTGTCGTAAACATGCCACCAATAACTTTCACAAATCTGCATCTGCTGCTGCAAAGGCCTTTCTCGAAAATATACCTGTGGACATTCAAGTTCAAAGTTTCCACCAAAAAACAATCGAAGAGAACAAGCAAATATTGGCCTCTATTATTTCCTGTGTAGTATTCTGTGGCACACACGATATGCCTCTACGAGGAAAAGAAACAGATGAGGGAGTTTTTTTCGATCTAATGAATTTGCGAGTTGAGTCGGGCGACATCAAATTAAAGAATCACCTGGAAAAGTGTCGTAGAAATGCTGTTTATACGTCACCAAAAATACAAAACCAACTCATATATTTATGTGGCGAAGTTATTAGGGAGAGTGTGATAAATGATGCAAAGAAAGCCATGTTCTACACAGTTTTAGCCGACGAGACAGCCGACGTTTCAGGAAAGGAGCAGCTATCCATTGGCGTTTCTATGATGAAAGTAAAAAAAAAGTCCGAGAAGAATTTGTGGGTTTTGTGGAGCTTTTTCAGGGAATCCACCACTCGCAGAAGTTCCGCTCCTAATCTATCACGACTGTGTGAGACTAGATGGTCTGAAAAATACAAAAGTATTCGCTTATTTGCACAAAATTTCCTCGAAATTGTGAAATCACTTGAAAAACTATCTATCGAGGGAAACTACGCCACGAGAAAATCTGCGTAACAGTTGCATGCCGCCGTTACCAAACCCTCACTAATTGTTGCCCTAACTATAATTGCAAAATATTCAGCTTTACTGGAGCCGGTTGTTAATGCCTTGCAAGCAAAAACTATGGATTTAATTAAGTTGCAAGAACATCTGAACGTAATCCTTAACGTTCTGAAAAAAAACCGTGAAGATGCCGACCTAGTTATTGATGAAGTACTTAAAAAAGCACAAGACTTTGCATTGGAATTGGAAATAGAAATTTCTATCCCTCGAATTACCAAGAGGCAAATACATAGAAACAATCCTCCATCAGACTGTGATAGTGACTACTGGAAGCGTTCGTTAATTATACCGTATCTGGATTCAATTATAGCCTCTTTAAATATTCGCTTTTCTCAAGAACATACTCCAGCGTTTGCCTTAACAAAAATACATCCATTATATATGCTCGACATGGAAACCA